TAAAATCTTAAAAAAAAAAAGTTCCACTAAAGATAAAATATTAGCTTAGACATAAAAATATGGCCAGCCTATTAATATAACACTGTAGGGCACCTGGGTTGCTCAGTTGGTTAAACAACTGCCTTCAGCTCCAGTCATGATCCTGGACTCCCAGGATCAAGTCCCGCTCAGCAGGGAGTCTGCTTCTCCCTCTGACCCTCCCCCTTCTCAGGTTTCTTTCTCTCTCTCAAAAACAAAACAAAACCACAACCAAAAAAACTTTAATAAATAAAATACTAATTTAACACTGTAGGGGCGCCTGGGTGGCTCAGTTGGTTAAGTTTCTGCATTTAGCTCAGGCCATGATCTCCAGGTCCTGGGATCAAAGTCCTGCATTCAGCTCCCTGCTCAGTGGGGAGTCTGCTGTCTCCCTTGCCCTCTGCTCCTCTCCCCATTTGTGTTCTGTCTCTCTCTCAAATAAATAAATAATCTTTAAAAAAAAAAAAAAAAGAGCTGTACTTCATCTCTATGGAAAACAATTTGGTGGGGGTGCCTGGATGGCACAATTGGTTAGGCATCTGACTCTTAGTTTCAGCTCAGATTGCACTCTCAGGGTCACGAGATGGAGATTCAGTGTAAAGTCCGCTTCAGACTCTGTGCCATTGGGCCCCCCACCCCGATGCACCAATGCACACTCTCTCTCTCTAAAATAAATAAATAAATCTGTTTATTTTTTTTTTAAGTTTTTATTTATTTATTTATTCATGACGGAGAGAGAGAGGCAGAGGCAGAGAGAGGCAAAGGGAGAAGCAGACTCCCCGCTGAGCAGGGAGCCCCTCGCAGTACTCAATCCCAGGACCCTGCCTGAGATCATGACCTGAAGGCAGACGCTTAACTGACTGAGCCACCCAGGCGCCCCTAAATAAATAAATCTTAACCCCCCCCAAAAAAAACAGTATGGTGGTTCCTCAAAAAACTGAAAATAGGGGGAACCTGGGTGGCTCAGTAGGTTAAGGGACTGACTCTTTGTTTCAGCTCAGGTTATGATCTCAGGGTCCTGAGATCCAGCCTTATATTGGGCTCTGTGAGCATGAAGTCTGCTAGAGATTCTTTCCCCCTCCCTCTCCCTCTCCCCACAAACCATGCCCATTCACAGGCGCTCTCTCTAAAACAAATTAATTAAATCTTTAAAAAAATTGAAAATAGAATTTACTGGGCGCCTGGGTGGCTCAGTGGGTTAAAGCCTCTGCCTTCGGCTCAGGTCATGATCCCAGGGTCCTGGGATCGGGCCCCCGCATCGGGCTCTCTGCTCAGCGGGGAGCCTGCTTCCTCCTCTCTCTGACTGCCTCTCTGCCTACTTGTAATCTCTGTCTGTCAAATAAATAAATAAAATCTTTAAAAAAAAAAAAAAGGAAATAGAATTTACCATATGATCTAGAAATTTCACTTCTGGATATACATCCAAAAAATTTGAAGCTGGATCCTGAAGAGGTATTTGTACACTGATGGTTATAGCTGCATTATTCACAACAGCCAAAAGCTGGAAGGAACACAAGTGTCCATTGACAGATAAATGAATAAACAAAATGTGGTGTAAATATGCAATGGAATCTTCCCCAGCCTTAAAAAGAAAACAAATTCTAACACAGGGATGCCTGGGTCGCATAGTAAGTCAGGTGTCTGCCTTTGGCTTGGGTCATGATCCCAGGGTCCTGGGATGGAGTCCTACATTGGGATCCTTACTCAGCAGGAACCTGCTTCTCCCTCTGCCTACCACTCTCTGTTTGTGCTCTGTCTCTCTCTATGACAAATAAATGAAATCTTACCAAAAAGGAAAGAAAGAAAGAAAGAAATTCTGACACATGCTACAACAGGATGAACCTTGAAGACATTATGCTAAGCGAAATAAGCAAGCCATGAAGGGACAAATACGTTATGAATCTGTTTGTATCTAGAGTAGTCAAATTCATGGAAACAAAAAGTAGAACGGTGGTTGCCAGGCACTGCACAGGAAAGGAAAATAGAGAGTTTCTGTTTAATGTTTATAGAATTTCAGTTTTGCAAGATGAAAAAGTTCTTGAGATAGGCTGCAAAACAATGTGAATATACTTCAAGCTACTGAGCTATACACTTAAAAATGGTTAAGATGGTATCTTTTATGTGTATTTTGCCACAATTGGGAAAAAAAAAAAAAAAGCTGTACTTTAAAAATGCCAAACTGGGGCGCCTGGATGGCTCAGTGGGTTAAGCGACTGCCTTCAGCTCAGGTTATGATCCCAGGAGTTCCGGGATCGAGTCCCACATGGGGCTCCCAAGCTCCGCAGGGAGTCTGCTTCTCCCTCTAACCTTCTTTCTTCTCATGCTCTCTCTCAAATAAATAGATAATCTTTAAAAAAAATAAAAATAAAAATGCCAAACTAAGCAAGGTCTCCCAAAGCTTCTCTGTCCATGGTATATACATTCATCAATGATATGAATACATTTTAGTTCACTTAATACCCTTGTCTTTTCTCACTGAGCTTTGAAGTAAACAATTAAGTATCAGATTTCAGTAATGTTATAAAAATCAAGAGGTAGTAAGAAAATTTTTATTTCCTGTGAGAAAAGAATGGAATGATCTAAATTATTAGTATCCTTTTAATTTTATCTTAGATGGAAACTTGATTAATAAACTAATGGAGTGTGTCTCATGTCTTCCTAAGAATCCTAATGCTCAAAGAAATAGATTCTTTGGAATAACCAAAATAATTCAAAGAAAGAACAGTGACAAGCTGATTTATTTTGTATTTTATCTCTATCTATTCCCATAGTACTAGATGGGCCGGCCAAAGCTGTAGGCCAGAAGACAATATACGTTTAAGCACAACCTTAAAAATACTTTTATATAAGTCTTAACCATATTCTTTAGGCAGATGTACTAGGAATCGTAACCATATATTTATTAAGTGGGTCAAAAGATTAAGTAAAGAAATATTTGTATCAGGGGCGCCTGGGTGGCTCAGTGGGTTAAATCCTCTGCCTTCGGCTCAGGTCATGATTCCAGGGTCCTGGGATCGAGCCCCGCATCAGGCTTTCTGCTCAGCGGGGAGCCTGCTTCCTTCTCTCTCTCTCTGCCTGCCTCTCTGCCTACTTGTGATCTCTATCTGTCAAATAAATAAATAAAAATCTTAAAGAAAAAAAAGAAATATTTATATAAAAAAGAGTATTTATATTCAAGGAAGAATACAATCTTGTTAAAATTATTAAACATGCTTAGTGAGAAACTGTATGAAGTATGACACTAGTAGTTAGGTTTGCACATGGCACAAAGTTTGGTTAATACCAAAGTGTGGGGGGCGCCTGGGTGGCTCAGTGGGTTAAAGCCTCTGCCTTCGGCTCAGGTCATGATCTCAGGGTCCTGGGATCGAGCCCCACATCTGGCTCTCTGCTCAGCAGGGAGCCTGCTTCCTCCTCTCCTCTCTCTGCCTGCCTCTCTGCCTACTTGTGATATCTTTCTGTCTAACAAATAAAATCTTAAAAAAAAAAAAATACCAAAGTGTGGTTATTACCATGGAAAAGTGAAATGGAGGGGCACCTGGGTGGCTCAGTGGGTTAAGGCCTCTGCCTTCGGCTCAGGTCATGATCCCAGGGTCCTGGGATCAAGCCCCACATGGGGCTCTCTGCTCAGCAGGGAGCCTGCTTCCCTCTCTCTCTCTGCCTGCCTCTCTGCCTACTTGTGATCTCTGTCAAATAAATAAATAAAATCTTAAAAAAAAAAGTGAAATGGACCTTAAAATCGAGTACTAAGTAATCCCTGATCGTAGGACTTGCACTACTTCTTCCTCTACTTGCCCTGCACTCTTAACTTCTCTTTACTTATCTAAGTCCTATGTAGCCATCAAGATCATATCACAAGTGCTAACTCATGATGCCTTTGCATCTATAGCCAACTCTTGTTACTCTTCCCTTCCCTGTCTATACTTACTATGGATTCATTCATTCAGCATTTTACATATACCATATTGTAGTCCTAAATTTTTATAAGCATCAATCCTTTATCCCCAAATAAATTTTAAACTGTCTGAGAGCAGGGACAATAGGTTACTTATCTTTGTCCATCTAGACTTATGCACACTGTAAATACTCAATAGATGTTTGTTTATTATAGTGTGGAAGTCCTGACAGAACATCTTCTAGGTTCCAGGGGCCAGAACATGAGCACATGGACCTGGTATGTAGCAAGACAAGATTTAGAGATGGGCTCCAGTATACTGATAAACACTGGAACAAACTACCCCAAGGATGATATGGATTCACTATCTTTGTGGATCTTTATAACTGATTTGCCTTAAATAATCCAGGGTTTGTGCTGGGGATAGGGGTAGGTAAAAGTGGACAATCATCCGAGGTTCCTTCAAGTCTTCTGACTGACACAGGGGGCAAGGGGAGGGGAGATTAAGTTTAAAAAATATAAAGCAAATATTTTCAGATTTCTGACTAGGGCGTAAATCGCTTAAGACAATGCGAGTTCTGCTACTCATCTAGCAACTCTGTGAGGGTCACTGAGCTGAGCATTGTAGATATAAAGGTTCGGTCCTTGCTCTTCTTGTGGCTACAGTGACAAAGAAACGACCACTACAAAGCACTCGCTATAACAATGCGCCATAGCAGAAAAAAAAAAAAAAGGCGGGGGGACTTAACTGCTTCAAGGGATGGGGGGCGGAGAGGCCTAGCAAAGGCAACGTTCTCGCAGACTTAAGAGGAGTCAGCCAAGTGACCAGGGGTGGCGTGGGATGGCAGGGACCAGGCTTCTGCCCTGAAACAGTGAACTGGAGGAACCAAGGCCCGGGGTAGAACTAACTGCAACTATGTACAGGAGGACGAAGTGCCTGTTTGCTGAGGATGAAGAAGAGAGTCCCGACGTACCAGGCATTAAAGAAATGGCCGCTTGGGAAAGGGTGCTGACTTGGGAGCTCTTTTTCTCCAGGTTTCTCTCCCGCCCACCCTGCCTAAACACCGACCCGGACAGCCGCGCGCCTCACCCAAGTGCCCCGAGTCCTGCTTCCGCCTCCGCTGCAGCCTCTCTCGCAGCGAGTCTAGCTGCTTTTTGTGGGCCTGGATAGAGCTCCACGTGTCCGACATCCTACTCTCTCAGCTGGGACACCTCTCGAATCAAGCGCGGTGTACTAGCACCTCCCAGCCCCAGCAGCAGGAAATCTCCAACTCTCACGCGGACACCCCGGGGCTAACCGGAAAGAGATCCCGGGGATGCGCTAGCCGGGAAGTCATTTTCCGTTTCCCGCTCGGTTTGAAGCTGAAATGAGAGCCACCATAGCTGTTGGCAGGATGGCGGAAATATTTTCAATAGGATCTCTCTCGTTCTTCCGGGTGCAGTGAAGCTGTGGTTGCCATATTAGTGCCTGGCAGAACAGCCATGTTGCTTATAGAGGCGCGTGCGGCCATGTTGAATATAAGGAGATGAGCCCTGTGAATTGATACAAAGTGTTAAGGCAGTACTGATAGGGGCACCTGGGTGGTTCAGTGAGTGAGCGTCTTCCTTCGCCTGGGGTCATGATCCCAGCGTCGTGGGATCGAGCCACGCAGCGAGCTCCCTGCTTAGCCGGAAGCCTGTTTATCCCTCTTCCACTCCCCATGCTTGTGTTCCCTCCCTCGTTCGCTCTCTCTCTCTCTCTCTCTCTGTCAAAAAAAAAAAAAAAGGGGGGGGGGGGGGGGGGCGGGAAGCACGTATTGCATGGACTCTGGTTGTGGTGCATAAACAACGAATTTTGGAACACTGAAAAGAAATAAAAATAAAATGGAAAAAAGAAAAGATACCACTGAGAGAGCAACAAGCAGGCTCCCTGCTGAGCAAGGAGCCCGATGTGGGACTCAATCCCAGGACCCTGGGATCATGACCTGAGCCGAAGGCAGCGGCTTAACCAACTGAACCACCCAGGCATCCCCTAAGTTCTTTTTTTTTTTTTTTAAAGACTTTATTTATTTGACAGAGAGAGATCACAAGTAGGCAGAGAGGCAGGCAGAGAGAGGGGGAAGCAGGCTCCCGGCTGAGCAGAGAGCCCGATATGGGGCTCCATCCCAGGACCCTGAGATCATGAGATCATGAAGTAGAGGCTTAACCCACTGAGCCACCCAGGCGCCCCTTAAAGTTTTATTTTATTTTATTTTATTTTATTTTATTTTTTAAGATTTTATTTGTTTATTTGACAGAGAGAGATCACAAGTAGAGAGGCAGGCAGAGAGAGAGGAAGGGAAGCAGGCTCCCCGCTGAGCAGAGAGCCAGATGCGGGACTCAATCCCAGGACCCTGAGATCATGACCTGAGTGGAAGGCAGAGGCTTTAACCCACTGAGCCACCAAGGTGCCCCAAGGTTTTATTTTTAAGTAGTCTTTACACCTGATGGGGGCTTGAACTTCCACCTGGAGATCAAGAGTTGTATGGAGATCAAAGTTGTATGCTCCACTGACTGAGCCACTCAAGTGCCCCTGGAGTACAGATTTTTAAAATGAAAAACAACTAATTCCTTTTGACAGATACTATCATATCCTTTCTACTGTAGGTATTGCAGGCTTATGTTTTCATGCATTCATTTATAGAGTTATGGCTGGGGGTGAATGGGTGGCTCAGTGGGTTAAGCCTCTGCCTTAGGCTCAGGTCATGGTCTCAGGGTTCTGGGATCAGTGCCCCATAGAGCTCCTTATCGGTCTCTCTGCTCAGCAAGGAGTCTGCTTCCCCCTCTCCTTCTGCCTGCCTCTGCTTACTTGTGATCTCTCTCTCTCTGTCAAATAAATAAATAAAATATTTAAGATTTTATTTATTTATTGGACAGACAGAGAATACAAGTAGGTGGAGAGGCAGGCAGAAAGAAAGGAAGAAGCAGGCTCCCCAGTGAACAGAGAGCCCGATGCGAGGCTCAATCTCAGGACCCTGAGACCATGACCTGAGCCAGACAAAGGCTTTAACCCACTGAGCCACCCAGGCACCCCAATAAATAAAATCTTTTTTAAAAATAAAGATAATGCTATTACATTAATTTACAGTCTATGGGTGTGTGCCTGGAGGACTGGAGCACCTGGGTGGCACAGTTGTTTAAGCATCTGCCTTAGGTTCAGGTCATAATGCCAGGGTCCTGGGGTCTAACCCCATGGCTGGCTCCCTGTTCAACAGCGTGTCTGCTTCTTCCCTCACCTCTGCCCTTCCCCTTCTCTTGTGCTCTCTCTCAAATAATTTTTTTAAAAACCACATTATTTAAAAAATTAAAAGGAGGACCGATGATGCAGAGGTGTTGTTTGTTTGTTTTTTATTTTGGGATGCCTGCGTGGCTCAATCAGTAGAGCATCTACCTTCGGCTGGGGTCATGGTCCCAGGGTCCTGGACCTGGTCCCAGGTCCAGGCGTGGAGCCTCCTTAAAATAAAAAAGGTTCAGGCTTGGGACATATGGGCAGCTCAGTCTGTTGATCACCTGCCTTCCATTCAGGTTATGATTCTGCGATCCTAGGATGGAGTCCCACATCTGGCTCCCTGCTCAGTGGGGAGCCTGCTTTTCCCTATGCCTGCCACTCCCCCTGCTTGTGCGCTCACTCTCTCTCTCTGTTTCTGACAAATGAAGAAAATCTTTAAAAAAAAATACTTAAAGAAAAAAAAGGTTCAGGCTTGAAATGACAGCTAGGGCTTCAACAGATGAAGCTATAGGAGAAGATTCCAGGCTGAGGGCATGATAAAAAGCCAAGATCTAGACGTAGGAAAGCATGATGTCTGTCCTGCCAATTCAGAATTGGCAAATTGAATTGCCAATTCAATTCAATTTGCTAGAACAAAGAGAATTACATTAGAGAACTTAGGAGGTTATGTTTCCATGTTTGAGGCCAGATGGAAAAGGGTACATGTTACCTTAGTAAAGAAGTTGTAATTTATTCAGAATACAGCAGTGAACACTTTAGGGTTTGTGAATAGGTGGCTCTTTAAAGATTAATCTAGCGTCCTAGTTGTATTGAGATAGGGAAGAAAGAGATTTTAGAGACAGGGACAATAGTAGCCGTTTTTTTGGATTTTTTTTTTTTTAAAGTAGGCCTATGCCCAAGGTGGGGCTTGAAACCACAACCCCTGTAAAAGGGTCACATGCTCTACCAGCAGAGCCAGCAAAGCACCCCAGTTAGTAGCTTATTTCAACGAGTGTTTGGTGATAGGGACTTTAATTAACTCCGAAGCTAGTTATAGGTAGTAATGGAAAGGAATGGGTGAATATGGGGGGAAGGACTATTGAGAAGAAAGATGTATGTGTATTGGAATGTGGCAGTTTCATCCATTTACTCAGCAAATATTTGTTGAGTGACTACTATGTTCTTGGTACTGTGCAGATTCAGTAGTGATCAAAATATTCATTTCCAACCTTTTTTCTCAATTTAATATACTTACTAGGCAATTTACACTATCTTTTGAGATGGGTAACTTTGTGTATTTGTTTTTTGTTTGTTTGAGATGCATGACTTTATATGTGAGCCTTCAAGCAGAGGACACAGAAATGTTTCTGGACTCACATGAGTATCTCAGGATTTAATTTTCAGGATTACACTTAATTAAAAGGAAAATGTCATCTTCCTCAGTTGAAATACTCTTGGAAAAGTTGGCTGATGTGAGATCATGGAAGACTACTCAAGGGGACTGCTCTACCTAAAGATTTTCATTTCCTTTAATGACCTGGGTCTAGCAACTGCCAAGAGAGTGGATAAGGGATGCTTTTGTGCTTTCATTTGGGATGTATCCTCTGTGGCCCTATGTTTAGACACATGTTATCATTCCTGAAGTAAGATAATACCATTAATGCTATATTATAGATTTTTTTTTTTTTTTGACAGAGAAAGAGCACAAGCAGGGAGAGTGGCAGTCAGAGGGAGGGAGAGAAGCAGGCTTCCCACTAAGCAAGGAGCCCGACGTGGGGCTCAATCCCAGGACCCTGGGATCATGACCTGAGCTGAAGGCAGATGCTTTATCAACTGAGCCACCCAGGCTCCCCTATGTTACAGAATTGTTAAGAGTTCATTGTTCACAAATCTGAATCCCTCACTTATTATAAGATCACTTCCTTTCAGGATCCTTAACACACAGAAATAAAATATATAGAAATTCTATAGCAGTGAAGTTAAATAGTCTTTGGGGAGAGTATTGGACACAGCTGTGTAGAAGAAAGGAGTTGATTCATCTTGAAGATGGAATTCCGTAGGTTAACCCCTAAACAATATAAACATTTTGTCTAGGACAGGAAGGATTTTCTAGTGGAAGAGATTCGGTCTCTGGTAGAATTCAAGGTATCTAAAGCCTGTATTGCCTCCCCTTACCTACAGAGGAAGCCAAAGAAGTAGCACAGATATTTCTGGAAATCAGCCAAATCAAGGGCAGCTTCTAGAAGTCTTTGCTTTCACATTTACTTTGGATAAATTCCTACAGTAGTATATCAGGCAGATTTTAGGAGCACATGCTCTGCTTATAGGGTGATTCTTTCTAGACTCCTCATGACCAGTTTTCTGCCCACTCTTAGCCAATCTGCATACCATCCTGAGCAGGGCACAAGGAAAGGAACCTTATCCAGACCTCTTCTAGTCAAGATAGAGTGCAAGCCTAGTTGTGAGCAGATAAGTGCTGCATGCACTGCATTAACTTTTCTTCATATCTGCTATGGTAGACTTCCTAGAATTAGTCCCAATGCCTCCCATCCCATATGCCTTTATGCAGGGTGACTTTGTCACTCTCCCTTTTAAGAGGTAAAGTTTATTTTCTCTCCTCTTGGATCCAAGTAGGCCTTCGACTAGTTCAGCCAACAGAATGTGGCAGAAGTTATATTGAGTTTCAGAGCCTAGGCCTTAAGAGGCCTTGCAGCTTGCAGCTTCTGCGTTTATCTTCTTGGAGACCTGGGCCGTCGCGGGAGCCCTGAGAGAGAGAAAGAGAAAGATATCCTAGAAATTGAAAGACTTGAAAGGGAAAGGGACCCAGAGGATGAAAAGACAAGAAAGAGAGGCTGAAGGGCCAGAAGTGAATGAAGCCATCTTGGATCCTCTAACCCAAATCAGAGCTGCCAAGTGAGCTCAACCCTCACTGCATGGAATATATCTTTTTCTTACTCATTTTTTATTATATGATCAAAAGCAAAGTGTCCACTAAGGCTAGTAAATCGGTTATTAAATTAAACATTAGAGGGCCACCTGGCTGGCTCAGTAGGAAGAGCACGCAACTCTTGATCTCAAGGATATGAGTTTGAGTCCCACGTTGGATATAGAGATTAAATTTTAAAAATCTTAAAAGAAAAAAAAAGTTAAGGGTACCTGAGTGGCTCAGTCAGTTGAGCATCT